TTTTTCTATATTATTGCTAAGGTCTCACCTCCTTTATTTTAAGGTAAACATGTTTAATTTAAAGTTCAGAGAGTATTACACAGCCATCTTCTGTTGCTTATCTTTCAAGACTGTAAAGCTCCTTTCAGAGTTACTGCTTTTCAGGATGCAATCTCCCCTTCTACAAAGGATGACCCTAATTCTCTATTCTTATCCTTATGACCTTGCATTTGGCTGCACTAAAACGCATGTTTTTCAAGTGAGCCCAGGTTAACAAGCTACACAAATTGCCCTGTAAAACTGACCTAGCCTTATCCTTATTTACCACTCTACCATTCTTTAGATCACTACAGACTTTATGAGCAATAATTTTATATTTCTGGAACCGGTGATACACAGAAACTACTAGTAGCAAATGGCCAGTCTGAAAAACCATCAGGGAAAACTTGGAGTATTAAGGCTCCAATTCTGAATCTTCTGATGTTACTATATAAACTAGAAATGCACAAAAAAGCAAAAATGTAACCAAAGTAATAAGCAATGAAAAAAGAATACGCTTCATATCCATTCCTATGCACAATATTTTAGTGCAAAACATGTCCAAAAAAAAAAAACCACCAAAAAAACCCAAAGATTTAGGAATTCACTACCATCAAATATAAAAATTGGTAACATAATAACATGATAAAACTGAGTAGGCTTATTGCAAAATCCATCTACATGTCCTCACTACTTCTTATAGAACAAATTTTTTTTGACAGATCTCTTTTTACATGCTGCATCAACCTCAGAAAAATTAACTATTATGCATTTTGTTCTACTTCAGCTCCTCATTCATTAAAGATGCAGGATCCTGCAGTTATCACATGACTACCTTTTACATATGCAATGAATACTTTTGACTACAAGTTTATCTAGGTCCCAGTTCTGTATGTGCTTAACTTTGTGCATGTGTTGAGCTCAACAGAACTACACTCCATTACTTAAAGTTATGTTTGTTCCTTGTAGAATCAGGATTGAGGTAAGATTGTCTCTGTGATAAAGGGCTAGTGGGTGTGTACTTTAAACCTTTTACTGTTGCAGAATTTTATATTCACAGCCTACTCTATTTGCTCAGTGTTTCTTGTTATTTCAATGGGACCTCTCGTGAGTAGAATGAAGTATAAAACTTCATATATTTATAACCTGAGTTGTGACATATAACTTAAAATATGTCTGTAAAATGCAATTTATTTTAAAAGCAAATAATACATTTTACAGTCTAAGCAAGCTACAAGCCTTTTAGTACCCTTGTTCTAATTATTTTAAAACACATCTACCAAACAAGGCAATTTTTTTTCAAATCTTTTTCTTTGCCACCTCTTTGAAACTACTAAATACTGAAACACCATAAGTTATTTCTCAACATATAATCCTTTAACTTACAAAATTAATTAAACCATAGTAACTGAAAATAAGTAAGTTCATACCTTTTCCTTTCAGCTTGCTCTTTCAAATAAATACATTTGGAACACATTGGTTCTTCCTCCTTATTGTCCGTGTCCTCTGCTGTAAATAAGATATTGTGACCTCTTCTGTCTAACGTATGATAAACTCTAGAAACCAGTTGTAAATAAGGAGGCAATATAAAACTAGGAAAAGCGGTACATAGACGATGAATGCTTGGATAATGTTGACCTCTAGAAAGGAAAACAAAGAAATCAAGAACCTTAATATCCATTCTCTATATTCTAAAGTACATAGTTTATCAAATACTACATCATGACATACATCAGACCATAGTATATAAATTGCTAACATAAATACTTGGTATAAAGTGCCTGGTGATTTCTACTAAAAGTAGAGATCACATTATTTAGAAAAGAAAAACAGGTAAAAGCTAAAATGTTGGTAATAATTTTGAAGTAAAAAATAAGTGCAGTAGTCACAATTTTACTTTCCCAGTTTAAGTAGAGCTTTCACTTGGTGCACTGAAGACTTAAACCAAGTAATGAAGATTTACAGCTTAAATTGGGTATGTGAATAAATGTTATGTTAAAATGTTACACATATGTTCATCTGCAAATTCTCTCCCATGACAGAGTACCTTGTAAATACCCTTGAAACTTTGAATTAGTTTTATGATATGCTATCAGTTGAACTTCTTCCTAGCTTTTCAATTCAGCTGTTGATTTGGAGGAAACACCGGGTCTTTGACTATGTTTGAAAACTAAAAATTCTACCATTTGACCCTCCCATCTAAGTTGTACTGAAGATGATGAAAGTCTACTGATTTCCATAGGCCATGGATCAAATTCTAAAAACAGTCTCTGGCTACTGTATGAACTTTAAAAAGTTAATAAATGTCTAATGGGCAGACAGTTACAACGTGAAGAGCAATATACGGAAAACGTCTGAGATGTAAAAAAAACTCAGAAATGGCTCCCCAAATATATGCTACTTTTAATTAAAGTTCATAAGTGCCTTCATATTTTAAGAGAAAATCCCAAATTAAAATAGTTAAAATTCCACTTTGAAATTACACTGAATAGTTTTCAGGTTTAACTATTTTTCTGATGTTTTCCCGAGACAATGACACTTTCAACAACTTGTTTTTTTGTTTTACTGAGAACTATGCCTTACTGTATGAACAGATATTATAAAGGGGAAATCAGCGAGAACTACAAAATGAAGTAAGGAAAAACACAAGATTGATTCATCATGCAATACATATTCAAGTTACAAAAATAGTATTTTATATTTGCTTAAGTTTTCTGAAAAATAACGACAGCAAAAAAGTAAAAGATAAAAATCACACATGTAAAGAAAAAAAACATGAAAATCAGTGTAATATAACAGAAATTTGACTAACATTCAAGAAATTATCACATCAAGTATATACCATATATATATCTGTTGCATTAATATAGTTTGAGTCCCTAAGTTTATAGGCACATGACAACCCAACAGGAAAGAATGCCAATAAATTTTTATTTTAATTAAAACTGGTCAAAATAATTTTTTTCAAGCCATACAACTTTAATATACAGAAAAGAGCCTAGTTAATTCATGCTTCAACAAAACAGTTTCACCAGATCTTACAATCCAGTCTCTACTGAAATCAGTGGTATTTTTGCCTGAATGAGAACAGGGTCAATGAAATAAAATGTGAAAGTTAAACATAAAAATTAAATATCCAGTTTGAAAAGCAACTCAATCACACAATCCATGAGACGGATTAGGATTTAAGGCATGCTTACAGCAACCCCATTTAATGCAAAGGATTTTTTTTTTTTTTAACTAATTGAATATATTTACAGCATAAATGGAAGTAAGTAACTGTTTTGGAGTGTCAAATCAGAGATCAATGCTTTAATAAGTAGATCACATTAATTTAAAATTAGAAATAAATATTTCACACTGGTTTTTTAACTTGATAGAGAGTATATAATCTTCATAAATGTTCTTAGTAGTTTACCTCAGGATGCTCTAATACAGTTCACTTTCTCTGCAATGCAATTACCACACAATTAAAACAAACAAACAAAAATAGAGAGCAAACAGCTTAACTTTGAACTTATAACATTTGGAGTGATTTCTGTAAATGATGGCAGGCAAAATAATTCCAAAATTCTGTAGGAACTTTTTTCTTAAGTTTGTCATTTAATTTAAATAAATAAAAACAATTTGAATGTTATTTTTATTGCATTACCATTACTGCTCTTGTATAGAAGTTTATCATTTCATTGAATGAACTAACTGAATGCTTTATCAATGTAAACTGAAATATTTGGGGCATGCTGCAGGTAAAGGTGAATGTTTTTACAGCACACACTCTCCTAAAACAGACTATTTATCATTCTTTGAAAAAAGGGGACATGAAAAAACAATACTATGTGTGTGGCCTACATTACCTTCACTTAATGCACTAAATATGGGGGTTTTAGAAAATCGTGCAGTTTCTGCACCATTGATAATCTGACAGTAAGTATTTATTGAAGGTAAAACACTCATTGTCTGTTGACACTATTTGTTTTAATATATAATCTTGCTAACCAAATGATCTTTAAGCAATGCAGATAAGCAATGGCATGCAAAGGGTCACTTAAATGCCAATTTGACTGTTTCATAAACTTAAGCATTCTTTTCCCATGACTATTCTCAGCTACTTAATTGAAAGTATTATCCATTTACAAACTTTAGGCCTGCCATAAAAAGGCTCTCTTCTGTATCCAATAGACCTTTCAGGACCCTAAGAACAACAAAAGCTAATAATTAAAGCTTCTTTTTTTTCCCCCCTTTTCTCAATAGAGAAGTGAAGAAGCAACCTATGGTACATCTAAACAAAGCTATCTATAAAGATCTTATTAGCAGTGAAGACCATAAAACTGAAGAGTCTCACTTCACATGGGATGGACAGGATCAGTTAAATTAGGACATAGTCTGTACTACTTTTGTAATCTGCACTTCTACTACAGAACGACAGATACAATCTATGACAAGAGCAAGGTAATAAGCAGTTGTCCTTAAATTACAGCTCTCCATGTAAAATCTCCTGAATTTCAGACAAGCACTGACTGTAATACAAATTCAAGTTAATGAATTTTTAATACATCTTCTCTATTTAAAGATGATGACTTACAGCTGGCATTGCTTATATTAAATTTGTGGTATTTTCCATTGTTTGTTTTTAATTATTTTGATTAGATTATGCTTGGAATTGTATGGACAAATTCAACCCCCACATAAGCAACTTCAGTTTCTGCTGCAGTCAAGAGAAGTTTCATCTGCATACAGCAGGACTGAATAGGCCCTCTAGATTTTAAAAACCATAAATCAGAACTATTTCAAGGAGATAAATAGAAAATTAAAACTAGAGATACCAAACTAAACTTGATAATTTAGATGAGAAATTGCAAGTTTTCAGATCCAAATTTGGGGGGATGGCATTGTTTCTTCTCCAAACTTACCTCTCATGCTATACACTAATAATATATTTTCAGTATTTTTCTTATAATAATGAAAGAAGATTAAAAAATTACTTGACATTTGAGGCCTGAGGAAGCAAAGATTGTTGCAAGTCGTGTTCCTCTTGTAGCTCTTTCTGAACTTCATCTGGTTTAATTTTTGATATTGCTTTTCCTTCTACCTGTAGCGCATCCGAGGCTGGAGCCTGAAAATGTTCATGAACAGAAGATAAACACAGTGTTACAAACTGATAAATTATATGGATATTATTATTATATGGATATCCCACTCTAGAGTAGAACAAGGAGCAATGGCACACAAGCAACTCTGACCACCAGAAAACAATTCAATTAAACTAGAGTACTTTAGAACTGCTGTCACTACACAGATCACAGCAGCGCCCACAGCTATTCAGGATATAGAATAAGCAGAAAAGTGTGATAAAAATAAATTTCCAATGTGCCCTACCTAAGCTGCATTTCTGAATAGTGTATAAGATAAGTGTATGTCAATATATTACAAAGAGAATAATCAAAAAAGCATAAAAATCATATTACTATTCAGACCTATTAAACTTCGAAGAGCATGAATACATCTAAAATTTGTATTGTATTTTTAAGCAAATTCTAACAGATACATATAGTTTAAAGGATGACATTTTTAGAAAAGTTTCTTCAAGGCTATGTTTATTAAATACAGGAACTTCAGCAGGAATACAAATGTAAGGAATTCCTACTGTTTCCAAGCACAGCTGCTCATTCCTATTTATTAGAGCACCACCTGCTTAGTTGTGCCAAAAATTGTTTTTCACACTGCGAAATAGATCAGAAAACTGATCCATGTTGAAAAAAAAGTTAAAAAAATGCATGGAGGGAAGGTAGAAATTAATCTAGATCTCCGATTCCCTTTGTAGAGAGTTCCTACATAGAAATTTTGTCGGGCACAGCTCACTGTAATCCAGGAGTGAGCAAACAGCAAGGAAAAGGAACTACCAAAGTCATCATTGCTGCCAAAGTGTCTGCATCTGCTTCACAAACTCAGCTTCGGAATCTATACCCTTGTGCTGCGTTTTCCATACTGCGATGACCTCCAGAGGTCCCTTCCAACCTCAACCATTCCTCAATTCTGTCTCCTGCAAACTGTTAAACATCCTCCTAAAACAGACTAGAAGTGCCATCAATAAAAAGGATTCTTCTGAACTCCACTTAAAAGCTTGCATACATAACACAACAAAGCACGTTCCACAAATTAAAGTATAATCACAACATAACACAGACAGAAACAGAACAACACAGTGGGGAAAACAAATTTTAAAGTGCTTTGTCTTGAAAAAATTTTCTCTCTAAATATGAAAAGTAAGTCCACTTTTTTGCCCAGCTCTTCCTGATACACCATGGTAATTACTTCTGTAAGACTGGCTAGCTTAGTTTATAGGAACCCAAATAATACAATTGTTGTAACCAAATGCTTTTCTAATTAAGATTTTCCATCACATATCTGGTTAAATGAATCACAAAGGCATAAGATTTTACTCTTCTTTGTTCACTCACATGCTTTATTTATCCCAGAATATAAGTCGGCACAATGTTTATGTCTACTGATAACTTCAGCAGTATTTAAGTTCTTAGCAAAAATCACTGCATGAAAAAATCATGGAAGTTTATAGTTCATCAACAAGCATATTAATCATCAAGTAAAAGATACTAAGAACTGCAGAAGATACCTAAATGAGTCACTACCTTCCGAAAAGGCTTACTCAAAATTAAAATGGTTTCATATATTGTTAGTTTATTTTTGAAACCAACACCACTCTTTATATCAGCACATCCATGAAAAAATATGAAGGACCGAAGTCAGATATTTGATGTTTACCAAAGAAACTGGAAGTCAATCAAAATTTTACATAGAGGAAATAGGCTAACAAAAATAAGGAATACAGAAAAGTCTGAAAGTAATATGTCTACCTGAAAATGTATCATTAAAATGAGCCAAATATAAGACTATGATTTTTGCTTTTGAATGTCAGGTAAATGTTTCTGTCATGATCTCTTGTCCAGTTTAAAGAAAAAAAGTAGCCTGATTGGATGCATTGTCATTACCAGCTTTTGGAATGCCCAGATACTCGAATAATTTGAAAAAAATGCCATGTAAATGATATCCAAAGTAACAGAAGATACTCAACAACACTTGTCGATGTCTTAGACACCAATATGGCTAATGAAAACCTCCAAAACTAAAATTAGAGCAGCTACTATTTTAAAATCATAAGCCAAAGTTCCGTGACCTCATCCTTTTTGTGAAACAGATCATAAAGGGGGACTTTAACACACTCTTGCTAATGAATTATGGAGACTATACTAAGTAGAGGGGAGATCCTTTAAGCTGAAAATCAGAGAACATGAGCCAACACACTTACTATTAGATGGACATTTTAAATGTATGTAATCTCATATTTTATTTCATTTTCTTTGTAGAAATACCAGTGAACAAACACACAACTTTTTATTCAAAATATTTATGTAATTCAGTTACAGATGTAACATAAAATTACAATAACTAAAGCAAATATCTGTTTTTTCATCTAACTGCTTTGTGTGTCACCAAATTTGCAAGTTCATCTGCCCGGTCAATCAATTTATCTTGAAGTTGCATGGGCCCTGCAGCCCACTAAGCAAAGCAAAAGATGTCACAAAAACATGCCAAAGAATAGCGTTCTATAGAAATACTAATATACAGTACATTGCTGTTACTCTGTATAGAAATACTTCTGCTAAGGATACGATACAGCATTTAGCTAATACATATGGGTTCTTAAAACCATTTCTCTTTCCTTTTCTAAAATTTTGTCTCCATTATTTTTTCCATGTGTAAAAGTGAAAGCATGCACTTTCAAATTAAATAATATATTTAAATTGCGTAGTAGGTGTGTTAAATGGAACCAAATATGTGTTATCTTTTCAGGTGCCAATCTTGCAAACTGTTTTGTGGTAAGATCACTGAACACCACTGATGGGTGTCGTTGCAACAATACCACCAGTGCATTACAGAAATGGCATGCTGCCCAAAATAATACTAAAATATCTAAAAAACATCATCACAGTACCCCAGTACTGTTTAAATAACTGGGAAACTGTTGGAAATAGTATATAAATTAGAAGTAATAAATAATCTTACTATATTCTGGAACATTATAAAAATTACCATCAGTGACATTGTGCTGTGTATTGTTTACACATCATTTAGCATATTTAGTTTAGTAACCAACAGATCAACTGATGTTGCAGAGTATACTCTTAAAACTACCTGCAAACACCATTATTAATATTAATTATATAAAACATTATAGCCAAGTACAGATGGCACATGAGATTTCAGTTACCAAAGGATTAGAAATATTTCTAAACTACAGACAGACAAATATCATAAGGAAAAATTCAAAACACAATATTTTTTCTAATTTAGCAGAATTTTTAAAAAGTAATATAATTTCATTTTCATCCATTTTCTTCAACAGAACTCTAACCCATCTAACAGAAATCATTTTGCTACCACAAAAGTTGCTAGGAAATATGAATTCTTAGCCATAGAAGAATGCCTGCCAACTGGAACTGCTCAGGCCAGCATTACCAGGCTACTTAGGGCTCTACTTCATGTCCACTGTAGACCCATTGCAGAATGCAGTGCCAGGACTGATGGGGAGTTTCTGTCACCTCCCTGTGACTCATTCCCAGAGATCCCCTGTCCCTTAGCCCTTCAGGGTAAGCTGTGTGCATCTTTGGTTCTTGGCTATCCTAAAATTGATCAGGAAAGTTGGTTGCTAATGCTCTGGAATTCTAGGCGTGTGCCTACCTCTCTCTATTCCTTTCTCCATGCAGCTTGAAGGGACACAATCAGGGCCAAACTACAGTCAGTAGGAGGAGCTGAAGAAGCAGCTGAAGCAAGGCCCTTAGACATTCAGAAGGTTTCTTATTTTGGCTAGACCTCTGGGTTATGATGACTAGACCTTGAAATAACATACTCGCAAATATCGGGCCATCAACAAGCATCTCACATGGGTGTCTCTCATCCTCTTTTCATTTCAGTCCCTTTAACTCCTTATTTTCAACACCTGTATCTGTCTTCCCATGCAGCTTATCCAACCTTAAGATGATCTCATTTATTCAAGTTTAGGCCAAGGCTATCTGGTACCTCTACACATAACACTGCCTCGTGGAAATATATCCCATTCTTGGTTGTCCTTCTTATTATACCATTGTAAACACAAATAGTGTTATTCTGTTTTATGATAAGCATATATAATAACTTTAAGGCAAAGTAATCATTTACATTGAAGCTGCAGAAGGAACAAAGTTAGCATTTTATTTCAGTATCTGGTTATAGCCTTGCAATACCAGAATGCTAGAAACTGACAACATAGGGGAAAAGACATTATTTGGTCTTAGCAGCAAATTTTTCCTCTGTGGTAGTCTCTATAAACTTGATACGTGTTCACTACTGAAAATCTAAGCTTTATAGAGTTGATATTTTAATGACAGTTTTTGTCATGTGTGAAATATCACAAAACCAAAAGGATATTGAGCATTATGCCATTTTCCAGGAAGGCATCCACTTGTTAAATGTAGATTAGGATTCTATTTATACGTTGTTTCATTTGTAATCTTCTTTCCAATCTCATAAAGAAAAGCCTAACCCAACATCTGACCGAATGAACCTTAATTTGTTTTTTCCTCTAACCTTAAGCTGCAAGACCAGTATGAAGACCTGTTTTATAGAAAATCTTCTTTTAAAGGGCAGGTGGTAAAGAAACAGCTTGCAGACCTCTGTATGCTCTAAAGCATCAAAACCTTAAGCATGCGAAAACTAATACTATCTCACAATAGTACTAAACCTGCTTACCTGCTTCACCTGCTTATTATATGTTAACAGCTCATCTTTAGGCTGAGATTCATTTTTTGCTAATTGAGATTCTTTCTGAACTACTGGTGTCTTCTGAGGGAAAGGGGGAAAAAATGTAAAAGGTGAATGTACAACATTTTTTTAGACACTTTTGTGCTCCCTGAAAGGTAATTCAGTACAATATTTATGATATGCAATTATTCTTTCATCATCCATGCATTTTATGAAGCACCTAGAACATTGTATCAATTTTCTCTTAAGCCAAATATTTCCTCAACAGCTAACTAGATTTCCAAAAATAAATATAGTAATAGGCAAAGGACCTCAGAAATTTATATCAAGAGATCTATGAGCCTTTAAAGCAAATAAATCATTAATGCCTCTAAACATTAAGCAATCCCCCAAACATATCTAAGTTTAAATATTTAAATTTTAAAATCAGTTTGAATGAAAGGCATAGAATGATGGGCACTAATACATGTGACTATAGATCAATGTCTTACAATTCCATTGCCCTAATCAGCATGCTACTTAATAAAAGTTAAATTCATTATATCCAACAGTTGGAGAATCAAATCCCATAAGAAAAGGAATGAATAAGACACAAAAGGGAAAAAGAGAAAAATAAAGGTATACTTGTGATTTATGAAGTACCAAAATGTTTTTAAGGACAATTTCATTTCCTTCCCAGTTTTATCAGTTTAAAATATGAACTACCTATCTTAACAACTCTGCAAGCAAATAGAAGCACTATTAACTTATTATATTTTAACATTCCTAGATAATGCAGAATGTTACCAGGCTTGCTTGGTGAAAACTTGGCAAGACTTGAGATTCAGTTTTTATTTCCTCATGTTCAATTGGTGCCTGTTGTATAAGCAAGAGAAGAAAACTAGTGTCAAACAAGAATGCTAAAAAAAAAAAAAATTATTCATACTACCTTACAGAACAAAACAACATCAAAACAATATATATGCATAAATTAAAGTTTGGGTCTTCATTACACAAATTAGTCTGAGAGCAACAAGTACATTCAGAGACAAATGATCTTAGGCTCATCTTTTTTTACGCAAACATTTACGCACATGCTTAACTCTTTACTATAAATAACTTCTCCACAGAACTACTTATAGTAGAGAAGTTTAACAGCTGAGTGCAATTTTCAGTTAATCATTTTCTTCACAGGAGAAAATTATAATTGCTTCACTTGCAGAAAAGTTACTGCAAAATTTGAAATCGTTCTTAGTTCCCAGACATACTATTCTTCCTCGTCAAAGGAACGGTTCAACAAGTCCCCTTTGGTTACAGTATATCCATACAAAAAAAAAGCAGAAATAAAACGCAGCAACAACTCTCTAAATAGATGGTAGTTTTAAGGACAGTGTGCTTTCTAAGCACCTGGTTAGCATATATGTACGTAATCCAGCACACACGTACTTTACCATACGTGCCACACGCTGGCTTGAGGAACCAAGTTTTAAAGAAAACAGTAATAAACAGAAGTATCACATCTAAAGTACATTTCATTTTTGAATAGAGTTCTTTAAAACCGCTACAGAAATGTTAAATATTTCTAGGGAAAATATTTCAGAGCCACAAGCTGATGCAAGAATGGATTAAAGGTATCAGTTGAATACGTGTTAGAAACAGTCTGTCACGTCATGAAAAAAATCCTTTGCTGGCACTGCAAATGTCCATTTGCTCTTTGAATGTAAAAATCTTCTACACAGTAGAATTTTTATTCCTTTGAGTGTATTGTCCACCTAACAATCTAAAAATATTAATTTTTTTTAGTGCCTAGGACTTTTTGCATTTAACTTTAATACCACGTAAGAAGCATACTCTGAGCTGCAACAATTTTTTCCTTACATATTAGAAAATTAAAAGGGAAAAAAAAAGGAGTCTCCAGGACAACACAGTTATAAAGGTACATACTACCGCAAAAATGTAAACTATAAAGCAATAAAAAGCTACGGCCTTGCAGAAGATTGTACATGTTGATGTTTTGCTTTTAACCAAAGCCTTAGTAATTTATCTACCTTTGACAGAAAAGACAGCTTAAGAAAAATACAATTCATATTACATTTTTTTTTTCATCACCATGACAGCAAGGAACTAAAATAGAGGAATGTAGTAACAACTCAGACTAAAAGGAACAGATTCAGCATTATCTTCTCAAGCTATACCAAACAACCTTCCTCCTCTTTGCAACATGTGCATATTTTCAAACATGGTGATTACCATGCACTATTAATTACTACAGTCCATCTTAGTCAACTGTAATTCCTTTCCCATGCAATTTATTATCCAATTCATGGAATCAGAGAGAAATTTTCACAAAGCCTTTCATTGAACCAGACTGGATCAACTTACTTTTCTAAACTATTGCATAATATGTAAATTACAATTTTACATACTAATTTTCCTGTTCTGTCAAAACCAACAGAATTATATGAGCAAATATTATCTTAATTTCATTTTAGACATCTGTACATGTTATGTGATTGCTTTCCTTTGTTGGGTGCAGTGTTTTCTCTTTTGTCCACTCTCCAAGGGAGAATCACAGGCACAATGCCATTCTGTTATTTTAATAAAATTATGTGTACTGTCTATATATGTACTGTGGGCTGTGTGTTTGCATTAACAAAAACAATGCCAAAGAGGTGTGATCTAACTTTGGAAAACAAAAGTGTTGAGAACTATGGCAACTCTTAATTGCGGTGGAAATCTGTTCTTGAGTGTTCTGCCCATTCTTGAGGAAGCTGTTTCCTGCACTGATATTTTAACCTTGTGATAGAAACTTCTACTGTGCCTTTTTAAAGCTTTATTAGCCATAGGCTTCCTCCTGCAGGTGTAGAAAACTATTTAGGTACCCAAGCACCTTGATAATTCACTAGAAACTATTTTAACATTTTCAGTCATTTTGGTATGTCTGTGGTATCCTTTGTAGCTGAAAAGACTCATTGCGAGTCCTGACATACAGAAAATTAAGTTGTTGTTGTTGTTGTTGTATTTAAATATTTTCATCTGGTATTTCTTTGATTCCTCATTTGATAGTTACATGCTATTAGAATAAATTATTTTCCTCTCTGTTCTGACAAGTCTCTATCACCAGTGCAGAAAAGACCCTGATAAATGACAAAACAAAGTCAATCTACGTGTGTGAACGTACAAATATTTTAAAACATGATTTTAACATGGTGAATTTATACAAGTTATTTATACACAAACATAGCTAATCACCCTGTACCCCTTTGACAAAGCTTGAAATTCTGGGAGATTACAATCTATCCGATAAAAACCAATTTGTTCTCATATTATACAGCAGCTTACTGATCTACTGAAGATTAGTCTCCCATTTTGTTAGACTCCAGGGCAAGATAGTCCTTGCCCCATAAAGCCTGTAGCATTTTTTAAGACAAGTATAAATGATGTGGGCCTAAAGATCATAAGGAACTGGAAAGTGATTGTTGATAAAATGTAACAAACTGCACAACTGGATTGTTCTTAATTAGTTGCACTGGTAACTGTGAAGAAATAGAGAGATTTTAGAAGTCTACACATGTAAACCATCTACCCAACATCTCTCTCTAGGCAGTTTCTTGCAACATTATGAAAATAAAACATCTTAAAAAAAAAAAAATCTAAAGTAATACGAGTTAACTGTTCTAGAAAAAAATTTTAATGTATCCAGGAGTGGTAGTGTCCACCCCTGAAGACTGAGCAGCTCCCTTCAGCGAGTGGCAGGAAGTGCCATAGCCTTTGCCATGATTAACCTTATAATGTGTACTTCCTGAAATAGCAATGTAATAGCAAACTAATAATAAAAAGCATCATGGTCTTGATTTAGCTACATTTTAATGGATGCTAAGACTGTGAGAAGAACATTCCACAAGCCACCTGTAAGCAGAAAATAAGAAAAACAATAGGAAGAGTTAAGGTTTTCACCACTTAAAGAGAACTAAATGAAATAAATTGAAGTCTCTTGTTCATTTCCATGACACTTAGAATACACCTTATAGCACCTAAGGGGGGAAAAAAAAAATATTTTCAATAAGCCTCTTAAAAATAGTTTTATCAGAAAGCAGTAGATAATCTGTTTATCAGAAAGCAGTAGATGATCTGTTGCATAATTTTCATATCAGCTAAAATATAAAGAACATATAGAGCAAATAATAAGTGAGATACTGTAAAGTTATGAGCAAATACTTGTTTGTATTTGCCGATAGATAGAAAGCAAATACAAGTCTATCTCTTCCTGAATTTTAACAGTAATTAGTCTCCATCAAACCACTTTAGGGAGAGTATTAATGCATTACAGAGAAAATCTTCTCAAGGCCTCACTATTGAGATTAACTGACAAGAGCTAGAAATGTTTTTTTAACAGTACAGCACATTTTATGTTGGCTTGCTGCTAGTATGGTGCACTGTGTAGTCCTTGTTTAATAGAAGTATTCAAATTTGATGTTATTTTTTGAGAACAAAAATGTTGTTCATTTAGTTACCACCCTCACAAGCTCATCTGAGGTACCAAAGAACTGATCTGCTGAAAACAGTAACTAACTAAAGATGAGCTGCAGGTTCATCACCAAGAAAGCTGCACTTCAAGCTGAATACCAAGAAAATGCATTTCCGAAATGAATATAAACACCCTCCTACGGATACTAAATCCAACATGTAACTTAGTAACTCAATATACTTCAGGGGTAGCAACAAGCCTCAGGGCAATTAAATTACTCCGGGCATTGGAAATTATATTATAATAAAAACTCTACTTTTTAACAGAAAATGTGGTAGGAATCATTATTCATAACTGATTTCCCACAAAGGAAACAGGGCTAAGTACTAACGTCCCACCGAGCTGGCATTCCATTCCCCAGATAATGCTCTTTTCAACGGGGAGAGGGAAACAGCGCTCAGCCTCCACAGCAATATCATAAGCTATCAGTGCTAACAAGTCATTAATGCAAGTTCAAGAATAAGATAAAGAGAACAGAATATTTTTTTTGGTAAGAAATGAAAAACACATTTAATTCTGAGAGCTTTTTTCATTTTAGTAGTTCTGTTCATTTCCTAGGTATTTCTATTTCATTTAAAAGAATGCATTTCTTACTTCATTAGAGAAGGCAAGCCTTGAAGCTCAGTGTAAAGTAAATAAACCATGCATAATAATAATAAAGAATTGCTAGCGTCTTCATTCTATTTATGAGGTCACAGTTCAAAAGACACCTGCTGCAAATGCCTTGGATTAAAAAAAAAAAAATGTAATCAGCAAGGGTCTCATTCATCCTCACTGATGTCCATATGTCCATACCTAAAAAAACATTAAACAACAAACAACCAGACCAGAAAGTCATCACCAAGTTCAAATTTTCATTTTACTTTGAACCTGATTGATGTAAGTTTTAGAAATAAAGAATTAAACATCACAGTACTCCAGAGGTCAGATTTTCAAAGCTCAGAGCCCAGCAGCTCCCACTACAAACAACAGAAAATCAGTTCTCTTCAATTTTAGAATATCAGGACTTGCTAAAGGCCAAATTTTGAAAAATCTTACCTAGAACATAAGACATGTTTATAAAAGCGTAAGAAAAACCATGCAACTCAGCACGTTACTGACCACTAATAATTATTTCTGGCAAGTTGAACAAGAAATGGTTTTCCAGGTCCAGGTTCTTCTCTAGCCCTCTTCCCATCTGCCTGAAGTATTTTTGTAACCAAATGGCGAATTTCAGCCAGACAAAGAGAACAGTCCCAAATAATTACACTCCTAAAATACAAGTCAAGCAATGAAGAGGGGTCATCTCAATGCTGCCACACTGAGGAAAGTCTTCTCTGATTTCAATCCCAATTGAAATACACCAGAAAATATACAGAGAGTGGGACACACTGTGAATGCCTCAACCACACAAACAGCTCTCAGAAGAAAATCAAATCAGAGGACATAAATCTAGTAGAAATGCAGTTTCAGACTATTGCTGCTCATGGACTTACACATTTAAATTAACTCAGTTCAGGATTCTTTTTTCTCCTAATTTTTGTATTTAATCAAAAGACAGTCAATCTCACATTAAGGGAATATAAGGTACTACACTTACTTTCTACGAGAGATACTCTATGATCATAAAAGGTAGCATTTTGATAGTTGTGGGAAATAATGTTCTTTATCACCTCACACAGGTTCATATGCTTTTCATCAGTCTTCCACACTTCCTTGCAGAGGCAGTTGCTGCTGAAAAGGAGTAGTTCACCCTCCATGGGTCTATTCATTCCATGGCATCCCTAACAAGTGCTAGCATGAATACCAAGCGTGATAGTGATTTTTGTGACATAAGTTTCAGCCCTCTTCGAACTAGAACAAAACTATCAGTCTTGCTAAGAGAGTTCACAGAGCCATCTGATAGTAAGTTACTAGTCTTGTTAACAAATTAATCAGCAACCCTCTGGTGAAAGTGTGGGAAAGTTTTCTGTAGCATCTACCTGATGCCTACTACTACTGATATCTACTGCTGTAACTAATTGAAGGGACTCTCTTACAGCTGCTTACACAATCTACCTAACTGTGAAAATAAAGAATTTGTCTTATCAAGACTTCACAACCTAAACAATAACTAAAAGAAGCAATACTTCCAACATTATCCCAAATGCATTTAATGCACTTTTTCATCAGTCAGACTGGAATATGTAACCTTAAAAAAGGGAAAGAAGAGTAAAGAAAAAGGTGTATTAAACTATAAGCAGTATAATAAAAATAATATCCCAGAAGAGTTTATGTTTTAATATATTTTTATACTGGCTCATTTTCATTTTTAAGGGACATCAAAAAAAACTGGCAGAAGAAACAGTGAAGAATATTCTGTGATACATTAGTGTCTTTATCCATTTGTTTTGTCTGGCTTCCGTGTTGTAACACATTGTAGGAGCTGGAAAAAAAATATACAACTCTTATAAAAGCAATATTTACCCAAGAGAAAAATATTGCTTTTGTTCTGGTTCACCTACTTCCATTTTTATGTTGTAGTTCTGGCCAAGAACACTCTCCAGGAGTTCTTTGATCGTCTGGTCTGAGGGAGATGGAGAAGTAGACTGCAGGGAAGCAATTATTTCACCAATAGACCTTGCAACCACTTTCACAGGCAATGCTGGTGTGGAAATAGGCTCTTCAGGTTTGCTCTGCTGGAAGTTCTTCTCGTATATTTTTGAAGTGTCTGGTCTAGTCACATCTCTTGCCTCCTCCAACTGTTCTCGAGCAGACCTCACACTTGGCTGCTTGCTTCCTTTTCTCAGCACTCTTCCCGATTCAACACCTAAATCTTGTTGCTTTGCTTTTGAAATCACTCTGCTTCTCTTCTTAGAGCTTTCCCTGGTTATTTTTCCCTTTCTTGAAATACTTTTGTTTTTATCAGAATCTGTAGAGCAAAATTCATCACTACCTTTAATCACAGTACCTATTTCTTCAGTTTTATCTCTGTTTAAATTCTGGAGATCCATCTGTAGCATACACACTCTATCCTTTACTTTACTAACAGCTTTTGTCTTTTCTAATGGGATTGGGGAGCTATTAACATGAATATTAGACCTGCAGTAACTTGGCTTCTGAGGTGGTGCTGGGTGCTTGAGCATTACAATTTTTTTCGTGGTACCTGCAAATGATGCTATTACTGGCAGTTTTACAACTGTGCTTTCATTACTACAAGTGGCATTTTCTCTGTTAACTTTTTCAGAGCAACTTCTCTGATTTTTGTCAGCAATATCTTCTTCCACAGATTTATTTCTTTGAGTCATCACCCTGAGATCAGGAGTTTGCTTTTTCATGTCTCTTACTTCAGAAGATCCTTACTTTCTGTGAACTTCAGAACACCCAATGAATTAATTACGAATATTTTTATTTATATTCATGACAGGCTTATGTGGACTCTTTGACCTCTGGGGAGGATAATGTTCTTAACTGGTGCGATTGATCCAGTGTTAAATCTTCCAATAAGGGCTAAATGCTCACATTTCTAGGAGCAGTAACTATTGCTTATTTGATCTTCAGACTATCCCACTGAGATTCCGTGCATATAGTGTCATGTTCCTTAATCAAATTCAGCTCTTCCACATAACTCAGTCCAAAGTGCTCATACCTTCTAGCAATTTTCTCCTACTGTGTGCAGCCTGTAAATTCAAACAGAAATGAGTTTTTGTATTTCATATACCAACACAGAACCCAGTCTTACAAAGACTACTTCATTTTGCTAAGGGCCCCACTGATTTTAACAAGACTGTTCTGAACACATATAATTAAGCACTGGCAATGGCTATCAGCATTTTACTCGAGGAAACAAGTGAACCATTTTTATCTCTGGGAGCATAAACTGGGAGCTGGACAGAAAGTCCAGAGGAAAAAAAAAATGAGAAAGGATAAAGCTCAACACTTTCTCGAAGTAACCACAAGAAGCTTTCCACCTACAAAAACCAGTGACCTCGGGCCCCTCCAAGCCCCCCTTCTCCCCCTCGAGCAGGCAAAGGTCCTCCCTCCTCTCGGAAAAGTACCTCACAGCCCGACAGCGCCCACAGCCGGGCCGCCGGCGGGAGAGGCACGGCACGGGCCAGCGACCCCGCCACGCACCGACACAGGCCCCGCGCAGGAGGCCTACTAGTCTCCCCCCGCACGGCCTCGGGGACGACAACGAGCCGGGCCCGCAGCCCCAGGAGCAGCAGCAGGAGGAGAAGGAGCCGCCGCCGCCGCTCCCACTTGAGGAGGCGGGCGGGGGAAGGACGCGCTCCGTAACCCAGCGACGAGGCTCCCGCCGGGGGAGAGAGCGGGGAGCGCCGGCTGCCGGCCCCTAGCGAGCGCCCCCTGCCGGCGGGGAGGGCTCGGCCGGGGCCAGCCCG